CTGTAGAAGGCCCTCACAGTGTTCCATCCTCCAAGACTATTTCGGGAACAAGAATGACCCTAAAGGCTTTAAAACAAATTCAACGTGAAATAGAAGCTGTACATTGAGATTACGTGAGCAAGGTAAAAGTGAAAGCCTTGATGACTCTTCTCATAGAGCATTTCAACTCAAACAAAAACAGCCTCCTCTGGAAGAATCCTAAAGCTTCCAAACCGTTTTTATTGAAAACACGGCCTATGAAGGCCCCGTGAGCAGAGCGGTAGAGAAACTCAGAAGAATTAAAGGTAAAAATATCCTCTCTTTTTAACCATATATAGCTAGATAAGCTAATTTATTATTTATCGTTGTCATTTATCGCGTGCATTTCCACTGAAGTTGGTAGCCATATTTATAGGAATTAAGCGCCATACAGAATTAAAATTTGGGGAGCATGGGCAAGCGAGCACTCGTTTAAATTTTGCGAGCAAATCGAGCAAAGGTAAAATTTTGCGAGCAGTTAAAAGTTTTAATGGACCATTCATCACCCCGAACTAAGAATGTAATAAAAGTTCGTTTCACAACACAAAACAATCAATTTATTAATGTCATGACGTAGGATAGGGCCGCCCCGAGTATTCGTGCCGGAGGAGCTTGTATGAAACGCACAAAAGATAAGATTTTTTATAGCAACAGTAATTTCATGTGCTGCCTTTCTATACTATATTAAAGTTCAGTTTAGTTAAAGTAGTTAGTTATAGTTTATTCTTTTTCTTTTTAAATCGTCAATAAAAATAATGAGAAGTAGATCGCACATAGCCTTTTTTCCCTTTACAGCCTGTAAACGTATTTTATCTAGTAAGCAGAATATTTTTCATGCAAGTGAGAAATAAACGTATGAAGACGTAATTTTAAAAAAATTCCTCAATAGAGCACGGACGGCACTGAAACGTTAACTTGGTGTTTATTTGTGTATTTCCACGAAGTTTAATTTCAGCCCATTGTGTTCAAACCCGCTTTGAAAACATCTCCAAATTTCATTTCCCCGTCAAACGCAAATTTCTTGACTTTGATCGAACCAGATCAATGTACATGTATTATGATGTAATTCAAAATAGGGCCGAAAATGCATACACACAACGGAAAAGGCTTGCTGAAACGGTACAGCCCTGAGTACCACAGGATAACCAAAACCCACAGGAATCCCAAGATTAGGAGTTGCGTTCTCCTGACGTCGAGAGCAATTAAATCTTTGACATCATCCTACCACTCCACCTACTGGTAATCAGTAAGAAGTTTGAAACATATGCCGGACGACTTCTCTCTGAAATAACCCATGCTTGTAAAGTTTCATGCAGCCACTCTCGTCAAGATCCTTAATTAAAAGCAGCCATCGTGCTTTATCAAAATCAATCATCTGTTCGCATCTTGCGTTCTGTTCATGAAATAAAAAGACGTGGGAATTTCGTTGCACTGTCCTTTAGTCTAATTCATTTTTTATATAAAAGTACTACCGTTTAAATGTTCAGTTATAGTTTTTTTTTTCTCAAAGATCAAGTTGGAAATGAAATACATACTAAAAAGAGGAAGGTTGTTGTTGTGTTTTCGAATTTCCTTGTTTTTAATTATGCGTTGCGATTTGGCGAGCTGCTTTGAATTCATCTCCATCTACATCTACGTTTAGTAGTCAGCAGAAACTATGTACAATTATCATCCGAAGAAAAAGATTTAAAATTTTTCTGAAAAATAATAAATAAAATATAAATAAATAAATAATGGAGGAGGGTCACCTCATACTAATCTCCGCGTAATTAATCGCTTAACATACTCTTAAAAATCTAAAGATTTGGCAGATACAATGTCAGAAGGGAGGCTATTCTATTCCCTTACTGTTCTAGAAAAATAGGAGTGTTTAAATAAATCGTTATTTGTACTATATATATAACAATTATTCACCGAAGTGGAGGTGGCTAGTCCTGGATATTTACCGAACTGCGAAGCAGTGAGGTAAATATCCACGACTAGCCACCGACACTGAGGTGAATAATTGTTTTAGTATATACTAAAACAGTGAGATAATTGAGCACAAAAATGACGATTTTTAACTGATCAAATACTGTTGCCAACGATTACAATTTTGGCGCGTAATGACCGGGCGGCCGCGGCCGTCGCTTTTTCTTGCCGACAACTAAAACTTTTGAAGGCATTTGTTTAGCTCTTGCGGGGAAATTTCTACAAAAGGAGTTGTGAATTCTCTTTGTATTTAAAATCATTCTATAAAAAAAGATTATTAAATTTAGTTTTAAGCTTATTTATGAACAACTCAACTAAATAAAGTAAGCAAGACTTCAGCTTAATTTGCATTTGTAAACAAAAAACTTTTCCCCCGTTTTTATCGATAAATTCGTTCAAAAGACAAAGCTTTATTTGTTAAAATTTCCAATCCGAACTTTGTCACCTTCTTCGTGTATTTCGGAAACAGCTGGCTTGATTAGTTGTGAAATTTCTTTGTTTGTTTACGGCAGCAAACCGGTAAGGCATTTTGCTTGCAACTTACGCGAGTTTGCCGTCGCTAGCTCAGAGGAACTGGAGGTGAATCAGTGAATAGTGCAGGATATTCACTGATTGAGTAGCCAATCAGAGCGCGCGAAAAACACTATCCACTGTTTTAGTATATACTAAATATATATATTCATATCTCTTAGTGAAGCTTTTCAAAGAGAAATTTCCAGGTTTAATATTATTTAAAGGTCGAGCTTCGGCCTACCATCAGGCCATTCAGAGCGCAGGTACCCCGGCAGCATAAAGAAGCAAACTTGAATTCCACGCCAGTTTAAGGTGGCTCGACTGGATTTTTGGGGGGTTGATACCTCCCCAGTTTGAGCATCAACTACGTCGGCATGAGTAAGGATATGGAAAAAAGCTTCCCACAGCTGTATTATATAAAGATGAAAATTTCTTATGATCTGGGTTTTATTGTAATCAGAGTCGCCATGGCAACGCAATGACGCCATTACGTTTTTCATTTATCTTTGTGTTTCTCTGTACCAAGAGTTTTTTGAAGAAATCACTTAAGGGAGTATGTACCTGCCATAATTGCCTCCATTATGGCAAAGTTTAAACAAATTCTATAAGAGCGTTTTCGAAATATTTTGAAATACAGTTTTAAGAATCATAAAAACAGTGAAATAGCATGCTAGCCACACAATTCGCTGATATTTTAAGAAAAATCATAAGCTTTGGGAACGCGGCTTCGTCTCATAGTGGTTTGATTCCATTGAAAACTGCATACAAAAAAAGAGGGGAATTGCTCTGGGCGATCGCGAGTAAGAAGAATTTTATCAACTTGCATTCAGCTACTTTTGATACAGTTTTTGGACGTAATTTGGTCCATGCCCAAACATTTCGCATTTTTCCAAAAACCGCTCGATAAATTTTTTTATAAATTCGACAATCCCGAGATCAATTGTCAAGAATTATTCCCTGCAAGTTTCAAGAACATTGAAAACAGGGAAAGCTTTTAAACAGGGCCTCAAATGTAGCCAATTTTTCCCCCAGATTTTGTGTTTACAAGTGAGTGTCCTCATTATTCCCTGGCATTGTTTTCAAGTTTCATATGCACCAAAAAATCCAATCGAGCCACCTTAATTGGACGCAAAATGTGTTTTTTATTTTAGATTCACATTAATTAGGTTAGAAGACTTATTAAAATAAAACTTGATACAAACTATCAGTCAGTTTGCTTTTCGTGTGTAGCTAAAATCTCCTTGGAGCTGAACGCAGAGTTATTTGGCAAAGACCTCAATGTGCCTAAACAAAAAAGAACTTTAATTTCCTCACCTGCTCTGAGTTGAGAGAAAGCTATGATCGTGATTGGTATACGTGTCTTCTCTCTACATTTTTCAGTCCATAATTGGCTGCAGATGCTCCAAACATTTTGATCCTCTATCTTGAGTCAAACAATCAACAGTCCATACCTTGGAAAGACTATAATGCTAATCTTTAGTATGCAAACTTGGCTTGACACGATCTGCGCGTGCATTTCGTCGGAAATTTGCATTTCTGAGCTTGGCATTTGCAAACTTCGTAACGAGGACCAAATCTCCATGATAGCTATAGCCATACTTTGAAAAATATAAATGGCTATAGGCAGTCGTTGTTTTATTTTTAGGTTTGCTTTTCATTTTTTTCAAAGTCCTCTTCTCTCAGCCAACCCTTCCCCCGCCCTGCCGAAAGCAAAACAACAACAACAACAACAGCAGCAAAATCGAAAAAGAATTAACTTAGTTTGAAACTGAAAAAAAAAAAAGAAAAAGAAAAAAGAAACAATGGCGCTTTCGCAGGTTCAAGGATGGGCTACATATTTCTCCTTTTCCCACAGCTTTTTTGTAAGGGGGTGGGGCGGCCGACACAGGCTAAGCGGAACATTCAGCTCTCAACAAAAAAGGGCTATTAAAACCATTTCATGCGGCCAATATTTTACGGAGATTTTCAAACACAGAGATAACTATGAAATAATTCTTTGGGTTCCCATCAGTTCGCGTCGTCTTCAGAATTTGCTGTGTCGAAAAAAAAAAAAAAAACTTTAGCTAAGCTTATTATTAAGGAAAGCCAAAAAAACTTTCTTCTTTCTGAATAGAAATTCCCTGCAAGGAAAATAATGACCGTTTGGGAATGGGTTCCATACTACAGTGGAATCTCGATTAAAACGAACCTTAGTGCTCGATATAACGAACGATTTTCTTTACCCCCCAAATAGTAAAATATATGGAAAAAAAAAATCCTCGATTTAATTGGCCAGTTCCACTCTATATCCAATCTCGTACCCAGAGTCTTCGACCAAAATGCCAGAGGACTCTGGGTACGAGATTGCTTTATATCTCGAAATGACTTCTGGGTTGTTGAAACGCTTGCACTTCCGCTGACATTCGCCGACTCGGCGTAAGTCGCAGGGCTAACAACGCCATCTTGTGACAGCTCCTACAAGTAAAAGTTGTAGTACGTGCTTTGTTCCATTTTCCAACATGGGAAACAAAGGCATGGAAGACCTTATCCCTGTTATGAACAAAATTCAAGATGCCTTTGCGCATATAGGACAACCATCGTCCATAGATTTGCCTCAGATCGCCGTCGTGGGAAGCCAGAGCGCTGGTAAAAGTAGTGTTTTAGAAAACTTTGTTGGAAGGTGAGTGTAAACGTTGATAATAGCTATAAAGAATCAATCGATGTTTACAACTCGAATATTGGCATCAACGGCCTGAATTTATTTAATATTCTAGGGATTTCTTGCCGCGAGGATCCGGCATTGTCACAAGAAGACCACTGATTCTTCAACTTCATCCAGCGAAGTCAGGTGAGCCTGGGCCCGGCAAATTTCAGAAAAGTAAATGTTTATTGAATGAAATCTGATCTACAATGGCTCGTAAAGATTGTTTCAAATGTTTAGCATTTGGAGTGGTAAATTTAAAATAGCAGATCTGTTTTGTTACTTTTCGTCCAGTGATCGACATTGTCCTGATAACAGTTGTGCCCATTAAAAAATTTTTGTGTTAACGTGTTCATTTGATTAATAATTGTATGCATTTTATTCTGCTCTAATCACTCGGGAATTAGGATTACGTGACATTCTAAAAACAGAGATGATGATCTCTTTTAGTTAAAACCAAAACTGCTGATTGTAAATCGTTGTAAAGTAGTCTTGATGGTAATGTGGTTTGAACAACATGCAATTTTTGTTGTTGCATTCTGTCAGTTAGTTGAGTTATTGTAAGGCTCGATCGAAAACGTAATGATTTACATTTAAGTTACAACCATAAACTCGCCCCATCAAGAATAAATAAATAAATGAATAAATAAATAACATAATAATAATAATAATAATAATAATAATAATAATAATAATACAGTAAAATAAAGTGAAATCTCAAAAATTAAAATAGTAATAATAATAATAATAATAATAATGATGATCTTATTAATAATTACAAGAGGGTTTCAATGGGGTTAACTGTTTAATGTATAAAAGCTTTTTTTCACTATCATAATCGTATAAATTACAAAATATTAACTGACAGGCATATAAAAACAGGTGATTTTAAGCGTATACAGAGCGAAGGAGACCCAAAAAGTAAGAAATTGATACAAAAAGATGAAGACTTTCTACAGTGAAAAGACGACATGGTGAGATAGAATGATAGAACTGTATTTTGTCGATATTCCTTTCACTGTGTAAGGCTGTTAGCTGATGTATATGCGACTTGCTCTTTGATGCAACGTTCCGGTACTTGTTCGAGCCTGAGGTTGTCTCTCAATTCAAAGTAGATGGGAATGAGGCTGGAGTTGACCTTGTTTTGATACAGCTCCCTCTGCTTTCTTGTGAAAATGAGGTTGTTCTTATGCTAACTAGTATTTTTCAAGCACAATTTCTATAAGAAAACAAAGGAGGTTTTGTATTTAAATAAGGGCCATCTCAGCCTCACATTCACTTGAAGGCTAATATATATATATTATGCCCACAACTGTAAAATGGTTTATTGTCTCAGTGTCCTCGCTCCTTGCTTGTGTGATCAAGATTGCAAGGATGGTGAGAGTGTCTATAATTCGGCATAATAGGACTGAGTGAAGTCTAATTAGGCCTGTAATCTTATGAACGATTACCGGTAAACAAAATCGGACTGCCGTGTAGTGAGAGTCCGATTTGTTGACTCCACTGAAAAGTATAATCACAGGTTGTCAATTGGGCAGGATGTTTTATTTCTCCATTCCCTTGCCTCACCTTGAACCCATTGAAGAGTGTGTGTGCGATTGTGTGCGCTGCTCAATCACTAGGGTCTTAAGGTCCAATGATGCCACCGCAACAAGAAAATCGCTTGAAAAGTGAGTTTGCACTCTTTTAGTCTTTATTGCGATTTTTCCTACGCACTGACTTTGTCAAATGTAGGCAAACCCTGCTGGAGTTGAATTCCTATGGAACATATCCACGGACATATCCAGGTTTTAAAAGAGAAATTAGATTTTCATCATTGCTTGTTTATGTTCTCCATAAAACGTGAAATTGGGCATTTTCACATCGTAGTAATGCAAATATAGAAAAGAAATGTACAAAAGTGTGATGCACGATCAAAGTTGTTGTTTTCGTGTTCTCTTTGCCGTCGCATCGTTTGATCTTTAAGTCCTTATAGTAACACGTGACATGTACTTTCTCATTACATTGTCCAATTAATGCTGAAGATGATCCGGGCTAACTGTAGGCAATTAGATCAGAGAATTCTGTTATACATGTAGTTATGATAAGCAGCACAAGGACTTAATTGTACAGAAATTCAGATCGAGCGTATTTGTTCAATAATTTTATTTACTGAAAGAGGATGAAGCAGATTGTGGTGCTGTACTGTCTTCCAGGTTCAACCACAGATGACAAATAAGGGTGTCGGGTAGGCTGGATTTGTAAGAAATAATTTATCTTCAGACTGCATGATTTGATGAAGTGTTGAAGAATTAAATATTACAAATCAGTACTGGAAAAGTGGGAGAGCACTTGGGACACTTAGGGAAGTGATTGATTTGGAAACACCACCCTATAAACAATTTTGACGTTTGCAGGACTCACAACCATGCCAACTAACTGACTAAACGTTTTTTTGCTGCTTACAGACTAACTAGTGTTTTTTTTAGCTGTTTACAGATTACAGCTACACCCCATTGACACTCTCTTACAATAATAATGATAATAAGTAAAATGAAACAGGATATAGATTGTGCAAAATGTTCCTTATATCATGTTCAGAGGGCTACAAAATTAATGGTTAAAAAACGAACATGTTTTGATGTTCAACTATCATCATTATCAAGTCAAAGGAAAAGAGTTGTTTGGAAAATATAATAATTATTACTTAAACAATAATTCATAACTAGACTGAACTTACAGATGTATGTAAGTGTCAAAAATAATTGATCAAACAAAGAGCATGGCATGGATGGAATCAGCTTAATCAGCTTGGGAGTTCAAGATTGGTTTGAGTTTTGAACTCAGTCCAAGTAAATTATTGTAAAACTGCCCATTTTTTAATTCCCTGGTACATCTTGTTGTGCATTAACTCTTTGACTTTTGATTTTGCATACTGTACAGAGTTTGCAGAATTTCTTCACTGCAAGGGAAAGAAATTTACTGATTTTGAAGAAGTAAGGAAAGAGATTGTGGCAGAAACTGACAGAGAAACTGGCAGCAATAAAGGAATTTCATCTCTACCGATTAATCTTCGGGTTTTCTCCCCTCATGGTGAGTGGGTAGTGGGCGTGATTGGGTGGCTTTTCATCACTATATACATGAAGTAATAGGATTGAGACAGGTGAGTTTCAGTCAGTGAAACACGTGGCCTGGAAGAAAAAATCCAATTGGATTCAAACCTCTGACCCTCTGGTTACTGACCCAGATGCTCTAACATTAAGCTACAAGAGACTCATGGGAGCTCAGAGCATTAAACTAGATTCATGTGCAAGGCAGGTTCTAACAGAGCCCAGTGGTCCCTGGTGCCCAACTTTTGCTTTTTTCATACAAATTCTTATGCTGGGCACCCTAGATTTTACAGTTTCAGAGCACTGGGTGCTATTCAATTTTCCTTAGAGCACAGCCTTGATGTGAAAAATATCCTGCATACTGCTAGAATTAGTTGATCTCAATGCATTTTACACATGCATGTGCTTTTGCACCATGATAGAATGCCACTCTGATCACTAGGAAACAGGGTGGAAAATGTTAATTTCTATCTTCGTTTAGATTGGGGTATTTCAAAGGTGTCAGAGAATCAGAAACACACACTTTATCAAGTCAAATATTTGCATACAAAAAAAGATTGTCATTCTTTTTAGAAAATGTTTAAGGTTTGACTTCTTATCTACATGTATAGACTGTTACACAGACCATACATGCTATAAGATGACTTCCTTATATACTGTGCAATAATCAGTTGGAAATATTTTTGATATTTATTTATGAGAAAAAAAATTGTTTTTAATGTTGTATACTAGAAATGAACCCTGTGGAAGTCCGTCTTCTTTTAATAATTAAGTGACACAAACTTATTAAAGCCAGGTTTCATTTTGAAATAATTGCGATGTTTTTTTTGGGAGTGTATCTTACTAGCAAATTTTCTTAAATGTTTTAGTGCTGAATTTGACTCTGGTGGATCTTCCTGGCATGACAAAAGTTCCTGTTGGTGATCAGCCAGCAGATATAGAAATGCTGATTAGAAGCATGTTGATGCAGTTTATCACCAAACCAAACTGCCTTATATTGGCAGTGTCACCTGCAAACTCAGATTTAGCCAACTCTGATGCATTGAAGATTGCAAAGGAGGTAGATCCTGAGGGTAAGTTTTTGATTGCACTTTTTGCACTTGGCCAGTTTTTTGGAGGTGTGTAAAATAATATTGCTCCAAAAAAATGATGCAGAAGAATATAAAATTTGAACTAAGGAGAAATTATTTTATCACTTATTACATGTATATAGTTCATTCAGTTTTTCACTAGTCCTGGCCTCTGCTGCACTTACTGACTCTGTACAGGAATAAGTATCGAAAAGGACTGAACATTGATTAAATTTGTCTTTCGATGATTCAGGTGTACGAACAATTGGAGTAATAACCAAGTTGGACCTCATGGATGAAGGAACAGATGCCCGGGACATTCTAGAAAACCGAGTCCTTCCTTTAAGAAGAGGTCAGAGAGTATTTTTTTTTTCACTGTTGTATGAATTCACTGTAGTTGAAAAGTACTACTGCTTAAAGTGACTATGGGCGCTTTCCAGTTGTCAAAACTGAGCCGCCAGACCATTCCAGTCATAATGAAAATTTCACTTTTAATTTAAACTATCCAGTGAGATCAATCAGATCCAAAATAGCATGCACAAAGCAAATGGTGTTCTACCAAAAATTCTTGGAAAAAAGCATTTTTCATTGTCAAAATGACTGGTCTGGCTGGCCAGTTCTGACTTTTGGAAAGCGCCCTATAATAGCAGGCTACACTAAAATCAAAGTCTTTTACTGTTCTTCCAGCCCCAGTTGTTTAAAAGGTGGAAAATGCTGTCCACTGATAATTCTCTATCCAGTGGTTGGTGCAATTGGTTTCCCTAACACTTATCCACTGGGTAGTGATTTGTCCAGTGAATAGCGCAATCCAGTGTTTGAACAACTAGGCCCTGGTCTCTGGGCAAACAAAGTTAGTTAATCAAAGTGAGTTAACTGCCAGGGGCCCCTTGGCACTGCTAGAGCATACCCTGTTATTGGCATGCTGAGTACATTTTTGAGCCTAGTCATCCTATATTTGTCATCAATGAAACTTTCCAGTGTGTCCAGTACCTCCAAGGAGATATTGAAGGGATATGCTGCAGCCAAGCCAAATTACTGTTTTGCTTGCCAATGATTGCACCAGCTGGAGGAAACTTATGGTTGCCTGCTTGATGTTGATGATGATGATGATGATGATGATGATGATGATGATGATGATGATGATGATGATGATGATGATGATGATGATGATGATGGTAGCAATAGTCAAACTTTGGTTTCTTTGCCATAATCAAAAGTTAAGCAGGGCTGTCATTAAGAGGTGGGGGCTGGGGATTTCCCCCGGCTACTTTGATAGGAAAATTGAAGAAAAATGGAACCAAGAGAAATCCCTAGCTGTTTGATTCCCCCATACTTGTTGTATTTACCCAGCAACTTGAAGTCTCAGTGACAACCCTGGTTAAGAATGTTGACTTTATTGACTTTATTAATTTTTTGCAGGCTACGTTGGAGTGGTAAACCGAAGTCAAGCTGACATTGATGGGAGAAAAGACATCAGATCGGCTTTAGCTTCTGAACGTAAATTTTTCCTCAGTCATCCTTCATACAGGTGAGAGCGTGAACTGAAATCAACGTTCCAGAAACATTTAGCGCTATTGATTTGCATAACTGATGTATCCAGTTGGTACTGATTCTTTTGGTAGATAGGGCTATCCAACTTTTGAGCAACTTAGGCCAGGCCTATTAGTGACACTATGGTTGTTTGTAATTGGTGTGTTATGAATTTCACTTGTGGCTGGTGGTTCTTAATCCAAAGTTGGATGTTAGATGTTGTGTTGTCTGATCAGTGCTTCTGGAATCTCAATTGGATAGCCTCAGTGACTGTGCTGTTTTTTTTTCTTAGAGATACATGTAGGGATTTATTTCCTGTAGATGCCGTTTCATAGTAATGTTCTCCTCACTCTCTGCATTTTTAGGATCTGAAATTGGCATTCTGTGCTTGCTAAATTGCAGCAAATCCCAAAGAGATTGAACAAAGTGATTGATAGACTTATGGTCTGTTGTTTGTCATGTATAATTATGTTAGAGGTCAGAATTAAATTCAGGTAAAAGTTTTTTTAACCAAGGTTGATTCTCAGTTTCCTTTGTCTTCTAGCCCTGATTATTCATGAATTAGGGCTAGGAAACAAAGGAATTTGAGAATCAACCTACATGTAGGTTAAAAAATTTCAACTTAAATTTGATTTTTACGTGTAACAAGTACATTTACAATGTACATGTTGTAAGTTTTTACTTCTGTAATGTTGATTATCATTTCAGGCATTTAGCAGACAAAATGGGAACTTCTTATTTACAAAAGATCCTTAACCAGGTAAGATGCAGGATAAAATAGACATGTTAGAATATGAGAACAGGGCGTCACCCCCATCTGTTTCCCCCACTTTCTTTTCTTGTTTCCAACCTTGCATCAGTGACTGTGGAATGGGTACCTAACCTCCCCACTGCTTAGGTGCAAATGACTGGGTTACCAGGCTTTGTTAATATGATGGTAGAGTGGCTTACATGTATGTGATCAGGGCTCAAAACTTGAACTGAGCTTGTCCAAGCAGCTCTTACATTTTGCTTGGCAAGGACCATTGAATGCGTGTCTTGGAGCGTTAACCATTTGTCAGAACTGGCTGGCCAGACCAGTCCAGTCATTTAGAGAATTCCACTGTTACGATTATCTAGCCTGCAGATCTGTTTATTCCTAAAAATTAATTACATGTTAATAGACTGTACATGTATGCACAGGAGACTAATATTTCATCTTCAAAATGACCAGTCTGGCCAGCCAGTTCTGTCATTTGGAAAGTGCCATAGGTTATTGAATAGATGTAATTTCAAAATGGCATTCTTAGACCCTTACCCACTGAAAAAGTGAGTTACATGTAAAAAGTTACTTGCCCAGCTGGCAGCAGGAAAATCTACGATGCACTTGCCCCATGCTACTGGATGGAACCTTTTTTGGGCCCTGATTGTAAGAAGCCCCTTGATGCTTAAGACACCCATCCTGATCCACTATTTCGTTGTACATGTACGATCTAAATTTTATGTAATTTTTCAGCAATTGACTAATCACATTAGAGAAACATTGCCAGCTCTCCGAAGCAGATTAGAAGAGAACATCATGGCACTTGAGAAGGAGGTTAAAGGATTTGAACACTACAACCCTGATGACCCATCCATGAAGACCAAAGCCTTGATGCAGTGAGTGGCATACAAAAGTTCTTAATTAACAAATGAAATGACCTAAAAAACTAGCCCTCATCCCAACGTAATTTAACCCTGGTTAATAACGTCTGCGAAGCAGCATCTGTAAGATTCTTCATCTTGTTATGGGTGCGCAACGGATTCAACAAAGTTTAATTACCAGGCCCCAGTTGTTCAAAAGTTGGATAGCGCCATCCACTGGATAAATCTCTATCCAGTGGATGATACAATTGGTTTCCCTTGTACTTATCCACTGGATAGAGATTTATCCAATGGATACCGTTATCCAGCTTTTGAACAACTGGGGCCAGAAGTGTATTTAGATTTTCCTTTCAACCTGATCGGCAAGTTGACAATGACTTTTTTAACAGGCCAATCATGGTCTGACTTGAATCTTGGCACACAGTTCGGGACCCAGAACAAGGATTTTGGTGCGTTTTGCAGATGGACTTGACAAGAGTTTAGTTTCGTCTTTGGTGTAGGCTCAATTTTTTTCTCGTGTGGTAAATTGGTCTTATGTAAAAAGTGAAAAATTAATGACATGTGGAGCTGCTCACAAGTCTTTGACTAATAACTGTTTTGTACCAAAGCAGCCATCAACTTAAATGATTACCTTCCCTTGCACACGTCTGAGTACAGATGTACAGCTGTATGTGAATTTTCCCTGACCACGATTAGGAACCATCTTGGATACCAATGACTGACAAATGAATATAGAAAGCACACATTTAATAATAGTAATGTTTTCTTGAAAGAATCAAGGTGCTATTTTCTTTATACTTCATTTTCCCTCATCTGAAACATCTCCCACCACACCCCATTCTAATCCATACAATGTGTAATTATCATTTTCCTTTTTGTAGTTGAATTTTTTTTATGTTAATTGTTTTATTAATATTGTTATTATCATAGGATGATTCAACAGTTCAATAATGATTTTGAGAAAGCCATTGAGGGATCTGGAGATCAAATTGATACAAAGGAACTTTCAGGTGGAGCCAAGATAAACAGAATATTTCACGAGCGATTTCCATACGAGTTAGTCAAGGTAAAATGGCTGTTAGTAAAACATTTATGCAATGTAACTTAGAAGTCAATATCCACTGAATATAAAAAGTTTCAAAAGGATTCTTAAAAGTAAAATAAATAATGTGCAGCGGCAAATTGGGGGGTCCAAACTTTGGTTAAGAAAAGACTGTTGAACTTTTTTGTGGCAAATTACTTTTCACAGAGATGACCACATGTTTTTATCTAATCTGTGAACGTCGGTTGCCGTTGGCGCGGGAAATAGGGAGCTTTAGCATCGACGACGGTAACGGCAGCGAAAACGTCAGTTTTAAAATGAATTCCCGTTTTTTCAATCTTTGTCGCGTTTATTACAATATTTTGACTTAATTTCTTTGGTCCTTAAGAGTATATAGGCTGTGGAAAAATTGTTGTCGATTTGTACACGTGACTCACACAACAGTTCTTATTTTTCTGCAAAGTGTGTACCGCTCGTGTCTGTTGCTTCACGCTCGTGCCCTCAAACCAATCCGAACACTCCACAATAATACCTGTTGTGCAGTCTAGTGATAGTCTGTAATAACTAACTAGTGTTTCGTCATATGAAATCTTAGGTTGAGTTTGATGAAAAGCAGTTAAGAAAGGAGATAATGTTTGCTATAAAGAATATTCATGGTATCAGGTTAGTATTCTACAGTTTTTGGAAACATGGCTGATAAACACGACGAGATTGCTCCCCCTTTTAGTTTTCTATTCTACTTTGGGTTAATTAGCTAATTTAAAAAAGGTGGACAAATCCATCCGGTGAATAACGCAATTGCTTTCCCTAGTACTTATCCGCTATCCTGCTTTTGAACAACCGGGGCCAGATTCCAGATTCTATATAGGATAGATTTTCTATATTTACCAAATAATCTCCAGAAATTGTGGTGAACAAGTTTCTCCAGACGCTTATTTTGGAAACCAGGCTAAATAGAAAACTCGAATCCCAAATTTGCCAATTTTTAAATCCCGTTTTTTTTTTGCTTTAGTAAAACTGGGGTTTTCGTTATTTGAACTTCATCCTTTCGACTTATTGGAATTCTTTTTTGAAACTTGACGATAATTTGGTGATTGTTTGATACGTTTTCTGTTCGTATGTGAATGCAGGGTTGGTCTGTTCACTCCTGACATGGCATTTGAAGCTATTGTCAAACGTCAGATTGATAAACTCAGAGCTCCTGCTGTGAAGTGTGTGGACTTGGTTATGTCAGAGTTAGTGAATGTTATCAAGAAATGTTCTTCCAACGTGAGTGAATTCCATTTTTGTACATTTGTTTTAGGGTACTAAGACAATAAAACTCTGTATATATCAACAGGGCTGTGTCGTGCACAGCTATCTAGTTCATTTTACTTGTAATGCCAAGGTTATTTTCTTCCCAACAATGTGTAATACAACAACCATTAGATTCGGGGAGCAAGGGTGGCGCAGTGGTGAGAGCGCTCGCCTCCCACCAATGTGGCCCGGGTTCAACTCCTGGAACGCACGGACGCGTTTAAACGAGTTCATATGAACTCCTATGTGCCTCGTGGGCAAACAAGCAATTTACAATTTTTTTTTGTAAAATCCGAAATAATCCAGGTCTCGGTAATGGTTATCAGCTTCGGCCATCGGCTCGGCAGATTATCCTGGATATCACAAAAACCTTATCCATTAATGTTTTAGTAATAGTTATTAACACTCTTTTTGAATTGCAGATGGACAAATACCCACTGCTTAGGGACCAAGTAGAGAAAATCGTGGTGCAACATGGAAGAAAAGGAGAGGCTAAATCTAAAGACCAGGTACTGGACGGTGTAATATGCAGTGGTGTATTTTTTATATTATTCGCGTGAACGTGAGATGCCGAGGGTGTGGTAGTAGGCAGTATTTTTGAGAGTGATGTCTTAATGTTTCAATTCAAGGCACACAATGAAATGCCATTCAGTATTTTTTTAAATTTAGATCTTGGAGGAATTTCTTTGGTAAATGTCTTTTGAGGATGAAAGACGCGAGAAAACAGTTTCTAAGCAGTTCTCGGCGAGAACCCTTTTCTATCCCAACCGACCATGAAGAAAAAATAAAATTGCGTTGTTGTTTTACTGTCAGTTTTCAAAACTGTTTCTGGTATTATTTTGATTGGTTTCACAAGAAGCCTTACATTCTTCTCTTGTTAGGTTAAAACGTTTATCGACATGGAACTTGCTTACATTAACACGAATCATCCGGATTTTATCGGATACGCAGAGTAAGTATATCGTAAGATAGACATTTCAGTCGGTCAGATACTATTTTTGGCCAATCGTAACAGTTCATAATCGGAGGAAAATTTCTGTCAGCAGTTTTTCACTGTGTAAAAATGGGGTATTTGGCTTCAAATGGTTATAATCGTTCATGAAAAAAAATGACAACTCAATAATGAACTGGTCAACAAAGTAAGAATTTTCTTATAAATCATTTTAGAACATCTGAGGACAGCTTCCAAATTTAAGCCCCCGGAGGGGCTAGTTATTATTATATGAAGATTTTTGCATCTCGAATTTATGGGGCTTGTAATTCGGGGGGTTGTAAAAAACCGAAGGGAAAATACCGTAAAATTCCGAAATAAGCCCCTCCATGTATAAGCCCCTCCAAATATAAGCCCCCCAAACCGGTAACGCAAAAAACCCTCCGTCAAATCGCCCCTCCGAATATAAGCCCCCCGGAGCTTGTATTTGGAAAATTGCCCTCAAAGACAAAGTAAAACAAAGCAAAAACGGTAAATTTACTTCCAACTACAAGGCTAGCCCAATCGATTTTGAAACGCAAATTTCCCTCCGTAGATAAGCCCCTCCAAAAATAAGCCCCTCAAAAAGGGCCTTTGAAAAATATAAGCCCCGGAGCTTATTTTCGGAATTTCACGGTATGCGGAATTTTACGGTTGAGCAGGTATCAAGCGCCGAAGAATACGTGCGATCAATACACAACTGGGGTTGGATGTACTTCTGATTGGTTTAAACATAGGCACGTTTTACGTGCATGAGCTATTTTGAATGCTTCAGTGTAACAGTATCGGCAATCTACCGTCTTAATCCTAAAGTAAGGCTATGTTTTGTGCGAAATTGGGTATTGCTGTACGTTAATGAAAACGAGAACCGCAGCGCATAGCTTATTCGATCTGATAAATTCACTTTTCTTTGTCTTTCCTTAAGACATCTGGTGCAAAATAAACAAATTGTTAAAGTACTATGAATATCAACTCACCAAAACTCGCTTAGAGGGAAGACTTGAAGGTTTCAAGGTTTCCTCATGGTTTCTTAAGATAAAGAAGGTCGTCGAATGCCGAATAGCTAAGATTTTCATCATCGGTGTAGATGGTTGCATCGTCATTATTCACGAAGTTATCACGTGCGATTCTACTTTAATGAAACAGTCTTTAACTCTGACCACTTAATTCTAAGAGTGTTATGAGTTTTTGCTTCTTAAAAGAAAAGAGCCTTTTCTTAGGCACTAGTTACAAAACTAAAGATGTCTTCATACGTTCAAGTTACTACTATTGCGTGAGAATCACACAGTTTGCACGTGAAAGTGTCGTACTTGCCCCTTTCGTGGTTCGTACGTGAGGGAATTCGAGTTATCACACAGCAATCCAGTAAACAGAATTATAAAAATAACTCATGCACACAATTTGCACGTGAAGAGGTTGGACTTTAGCCCTTATACAATTCGTTCGTAAAAAAAAAAAAGCAAATTGTTTGCTAGAAAATTTTCTCAAACTATTTTAAGAAATCACCTCGGCTTTACAACATCTGCAATTAAATTATGCTTCATGCAACGTCAAGGTTGATAGCCTAACATTTATTAACTTCCAACAAAATTATCAACTGAAACTGCCGAAATGTATTTCTACTCATATCATGTTATTCCTCTCAATAAAACAATATCTTAATCTAATTAGTGTCAACTAGCTTCCTCCAATTTAATTCCCTAACGCAACTAGCTATTTCTACTTAAAGCCTGGTTTCCACTTGTCGTTTGTCGGTAGTCGGTTAAAATTTTCGATCTTTATCGGTTGTCGGTAAATCTCGGTCAATAAGAAAAAACGCTTGTAAATTATTAATATATTTTTTATGTATTTCACCCAGTTTCAAGACTTTGATTCCTAAGGAAAAGACTTGGTAAAATACATCATCCTCTCCAGTCATGTCCAATACTGCCGCACTGTTACGGACCGTTAAGAGCAGTTAACGGACCGTACGTTCTGCACAAACCGTCACTATTACTCACGGTCCGTATGCTGAGCACATACGGAGCGTGCATCTCATTATTACATGAGGGCACAATGCGTTACGGTTCGTTCGATCCGTACGGTCCGAAGACATACGGAGCGTGCATCTCATTATTACATCAGGGCACAATGCGATACGGTTCGTTCGATCCGTACGATCCGCACGGCAAGAAAGGCGCACTCCTACTGTAATATTCCTTGTTCTATAAACCATAAACCAACACAAGCGCAAAAACCAAGAAAGGCGCACTCCAAATTTTTATTATTCCTCGTTCGGTTCCACGTTCTATAAGCCATAAACCACAACAAGTGCGCTCCAAATGTAAGATTCCTCGTTCTATAAACCTAACCTACAACAAGCGCGCTCCAAATGTAACATTCTTCGTTCTATTAGCCACCATCCGCACGGCAAGAAAGGCGCACTCCAAATGTAATATTCTTCGTTCTATAAACCATAAACCAACACAAGCGCAAAGCCACACATTCCTCGTTCTATAAACCATAAACCAGCACAAGCGCAACAACCAAGAAAGGCACACTCCAAATGTAATATTCCTCGTTCTATAAACCATAAACCAACACAAGCGAAAAGCCACACATTCCTCGTTCTATAAACCATAAACCAACACAAGCGCAACAACCTAGAAAGGCACACTCCAAATGTAATTTTCCTTCCTCTGTAAATCAAAACAACCCAAAAACCACGGTATGCACGCTCTAAGTTTTTATGCTTGTGTCTAAATGTGATGTTGTTGTAAGTAAAAAACCAAAACAAGCGCGCTTGAAATGTAAGAACAATCGTCAATAAGTTTATAATTAATATAAGCACGCACCGAATGTAAAGGCAAGATAAGCAAGCACCAAAAATGTAATATTCAAACGTAGTATTTCTTTATATAACCAAGATAAGCATGCTCTATATAAATTTAATGTTCCATCTCTATACGCCAAAAACAAAAGAAAGCGCACTTTAAATGCAAATGTTCTTCGCTTGCTTTTCTTACTACGTTTGCTGCACAAAACAAATGTCATTTTCGTTATAACACTGCTCCTCGTTCTAATGTCACAAACGAGGGCACGCGCGCTTCAAATGTAACAATCGCCTCGTTTTATATAAGCTGTCAAATTTTTCGCAATAAGCACGCAGTACTTTATATACTGATAAACATGCTCTATATCAATTTAAGTTTCCTCTTTCTATACGCCAAAACAAAAGCAAGCGCACTTTAAATGTAACTTTTCTACGGTAAAACTGTAAGAACAATCGTCTGCAGTTTATGAAATAGGAATGTTGATGCGAACATATTTTCACAACGAAGTATAGTCGTCAAATACTACTTAAAAAGTACTCTTATTGGTTAGAGACTTTTATTCTTTTGGTGGCTCCTAAAAGAGCCTTTTTTTTGTGTCCTGTAGTGCAGGGTTTTTCCTTCTTTTATGATTTTTCTTGGATTTTCTAGGTTTTTCTGCTGCGTCTTGTTGGTGCTGTGATTACTGTTTCGGTAGTCCATTTAAATACAAAAGTTTGTTGTGGTCTACGTCAAAGTAGAACCGTGTTCCTCTCCTTTTGTCGATCCGTTCGATCCGTACGGATCGACAAACCGTATATAACCACTCTTGCCATGAAAATATTCTAAGTCCCACTAATTAGATGCTATTTACGGACCGTAAAACACTCTTTACAGAGCGTATATCCCTTTTGTCGATCCGTTCGATCCGTACGGATCGACAAACCGTATATCACCACTATTGCAATGAAAATATTCTAAGTGCCACTAATGAGATGCGATTTACGGACCGTAAAACACTCTTTACAGACCGTATACCCCTTTTGTCGATCTGTTCGATCCGTACGGATCGACAAACCGTATATGACCACTCTTGCCATGAAAATATTCTAAGTGCCACTAATGAGATGCGATTTACGGACCGTAAAACACTCTTTACAGACCGTATACCCCTTTTGTCGATCCGTTCGATCCGTACGGATCGATAAACCGTATATCACCACTCTTGCCATGAAAATATTCTAAGTCCCACTAATTAGATGCTATTTACGGACCGTAAAACACCCTTTACAGACCGTATACCCCTGTTGTCGATCCGTTCGATCCGTACGGATCGACATGTGGCTTATACGGACCGTTACGGTGCGGGTGTATTGGACAACCCTCATTGCATTTAAACTTCATTAACTTGGTTTGTTTAAGCAACATGATCGTTTACTTGACCTTTGTTTGCCCATGTAGTAGTGATAAAATCACCAAAACTTTTATTGTAAATACGAACTTGGTTTCCCTGTTGACGACAGGGCACAATAAAAACTGATTAATTAATGGACACAGAAAAATCGCCCACTCTAGCCTTTTGGATACTTAGATTATTTTGAGTGAAAAACTGGAAGGGGTGACAGGCTGCACTTCTATTAATTCCTTTAATATTTTGGCTCTAAGCATGTCATCCTCTGCCATCAATTTTTCTTTCTCATTAAAGCTTCTTTTGAAGTGGACACTTAAGAGCTGGTACGTGTCACGAAAGGCAATCTTTCTTTTCTCAGCTTCCCTGTTGTTTTGTTTCAGGGGCGCGGTATTCTCTCTGTGAGTTTTACTTCTGATAGCAATTTGTCTTTCAAAATTGTGCGGCTAGCCTCTGTCCATCAAGCGCTTTTTGAAATCTGAAATACTTCTCCTTTGACAAATCTATTTAACACTTGCTCTCTGTGAGTTTTACTTCTGATAGCAATTTGTCTTTCAAAATTGTGTGGCTAGCCTCTGTCCATCAAGCGCTTTTTGAAATCTGAAATACTTCTCCTTTGACAAATCTATTTAACACTTGCTGGACGACAAGAGGTGAAAATTATGTACTGGAAATGCTCTTTAGTTTCTGAAAACAAATGTCGATAATGTCGGTCCATGTCGGTAGTCGGTTAATTTTTTCCCTGTCGGTAGTCTGTAATTTGTTCTCGTTTTCTCGGTAGTCAGTAATATTTTTCGTCTTTTGTCGCTAGTCGGTTAACCCCGTTAACACCCCCATAAATACGTGCGTTGTACCGTTAGCCGAATTCGGTCAGAAATGTCTTGAAGCAGCATCCACACTAAAATATGAACCCTTAAACAGCTGCATCACTGTACACAGCGTTTAAATCATGAAGATATTTAATGTAATGGTTCTAAACACCTGTAGCCGTAATAAAAGACAAAAAAATTGTGAAGAATCAAGATGGCGGTCTCAAAGTGCCCTTGTTCGACCTTTAGCAATGCTATATTTAATAAATGCCAAGATCTCATTGGTTCCTAAGCATCAACTCATAGTACCTTCAGCCTTATTGGCTCTTGCAACATACATCCGAACATGCAAAGCCACAAAGATACATACGCTCACACCACTGACATATGAGCTATTTTTTCAAAATAGCTCAAAAAGTGAAGCGACAGTTTTCAGCCAATTAAAAAGTGAAGAAAAGGGAACCAAAACCAACCTCGAAATGCTTTTAATTTTGTTAAATAGCCGTGTACAAAAGTGACGGTATTATTAGAATAGTCCTGACTTTTTCATGTATGTTAACTGTTTACCAGCAGTAAAAAGGTGATTTGTTCTTTTTTTTTTTCTGATACTACCTTAGGGCATCAAATAACTCCAATCCAGGCGAAAGAAAAACAAAGAGAACTGTATCCAACCAGGTTTGTGCTTAAAGAAACCATTCTTTGTGCAGCAGACTTTCTCACTTCTATGTCCTCTCACACTCACAGCGCTCAATGCAACGGTGCATGCTAAGTTGTTAGCAGAGCCAAAATTATTGATAAAACCATCGAGCCCTAAACTTCGCAAGTTGCATGTAAATGGGATGACCATATAACACACCCAGGGAGACGATGTGCACAAGATTTTTCCTAAGAGCCACCAAATGTGTTGGTTTGCTTTCATTCAATAATCGTTTCTTAGTGAACGGATACTAGGGCGTGTGCTGTTTGCCTGATTGTTTATTTCAAGGTTGAAGCTCTCGTGAGCGGAGACCCTCGGAACATGGGAGTACTGAAGCATGGCTGCTTACGGGAATTTGAAAATACAGAGTTTATATGAGAGTCGAGAGAAAACGGGGATTTGTGAAGGTGGCCGTAAGTAGAGCTGTTGCCCGCTTACGAGTGTCCTCCAGGAGAGCTTTCGCTGTATTTCTGTTGTTTCCCTCTTCTTCTGGTACATGGTTACTGGAGCATGGCCGCTTACGGGAATGTGAAAATACAGAGTTTATATGAGAGTCGAGAAAAAACGGGGTTTTGTGAAGGTGGCCGTAAGTAGAGCTGTTGCCCGCTTATGAGTGCCCACTAGGAAAACTTCCACTGTTCTTTTTTTCACTCTTCTTCTTCCTCTTTATTTTCTTTCCTTTTAGGTGATCAGGAAAGGCTGGCTCACGATAAGCAATGTTGGATTTATGAAGGGTATCAGCAAAGAATACTGGTTTATACTAACAGGTTAGTTGGAGAGACTTAGGGTTGGTCATTTAAGCAAAGCCTCACTCAGTAGGCCTGCAAATATGTTTTAAAAGTTTTTTTGTAAATAATAAATGGTATTCTTGCTGGAATGTAAGACTTCTTGACGCTGCCTTCTTAAAATGGCTCAGAACGCGGTTTTGTTAAACACCGTTTAAATTAGATCATCTAACATTGTACGTATGTGCGATGCTGTACTTGATGTTGGCTGGCTTTAAGTCTTTTGCATTGAGAAAATATTGTTTGTATTGGTTACTGTTTCTCTCAGTGATTGGCCAAATATTTCCCGCTGCACTTCTTTGCCAAAAACGACTGGAAAAGCCCAAACCGTGGCTTTAAGTTGTTGCTTCGATACGTTATTTGCTTATTTTTGTAGCCAGGACTTGTGTTGGTTTTACGACACTTAATTTAAAGCCGTTTGCTCAGAGTATGGATATTTAAAGTGTTTCATTTTTTTTCTGGGAGCCTTTTGTACCGATTTCATTCGACTTTTTGTCAAGTCACCTTGACATTTAAGTCTGGTGACAAGTTGTTTTGGATTGATGTTTTTATAAAGTTAATTATATTGCTTCGATCAAGATTTCGCGTTGAGAATCAATGTAGGCATGTACCGTATTTACTCGATTAGCGCCCATCCTCGAATACGCGCCGACCCCGAAGCACCCACCCTGTAGGTAGGAAAGGTAACTGAGCGTCAGTGATCACAGTACTATTGTTCACACATCAATACTTAAATTGTATTCTAGTTTCAGAGTTGATGCAGGTGGGGTTAAGAAGACCTCCATTTTTATCCTCACTCTTAACTTTGACCAAACTTTATATCCTGGCGTTAGTATGATGTCCATTTCATTTTCATTTCATTTCATTTCATTTCACTTTTTTTATTTTTAGCCGAAACTCTTTCCTGGTACAAGGACGATGAGGTAGGTTTCAAACTTATTAAAGAAACCTGAGGTCATGTTACAGGGCACGTTTCAGGGATGAAATGAAAAGACAAATCTTTTTGTGGGTGGTTATACTTCTGAAGTAGGGAAACGCAAACTATTTTTGCGGGTAATATGTCCCCTTAACATGTGGCAGTTCAAATAACTGTCAGTTAAGCAAAATGTTGAGAGGCCGTTTTTACGGTTGTACAGTGCTTCTCTGCAACGCTTTCAAGCGTAATTTGGCCAGTCAGAGGCAGAATTCTGTCTCCCCGCTAAACGTCCCTGTGACATGCCTGTTTTGCGTGTGCTTGCTGTTACAAGTGGCTTCGGCGTGTCCTGCAGTATGACCGAGCGTGTTTATAGAGCGTATTCACACGACGTCGCTGCGGCCATGTTGGTCTACCAAGAAAATCCTGTGGGAGTTGAACTCTTTCCTTATGTAAATGCTTTCTTTTATTCCAATGAATTTGCACAGATGCTGGCCACCTCAGCGTGCAAAGAAAGTAATGTCCGATAGCCCGGGGCTAGTGGATTTTGCTATGGGGCTAGTAAATTCTGTTTTTAACTTGCTTGACGGGCAAGTGATATTTTTTGAGCAATTGGAATAACAGAAGAACTGTGAAATCAATTCTGCTGGTCAAAAAGCTTTTGGGGCGAGTTGAAATGATGTCTGCGCTAGTAAATGCTAGCTTCAGCTTGCCCGAATGGCAAGCTGTAAAAATGATATTCTTCGCACCCTGCACCTGAGTCAATACGCTCTATTCTTCTAGAACGCGCCACTTTAGAAGCGATCACGGGACTGGTGCCGAACGCGTCGGTCAGCTATTGGCCAGTTATTTTTCATGTCCCCATTTCCAGCCCCAGAAGTCTTTGCAAACGTTTTTCCGACCCAGCTTCCCTCCCCGTTTCTTATTGTGTTCTAAGACACGTCACGGGTCTGGGGAGAATATAGGAACTGCCAGGGAGCGTTCTAATTGGTTTAGCGAAAGAAGGTAAACACACATGGCTTGTTTGGTCGGTCTAGCGGACGCGGGAGGGAAAGCAAACTTGCTTTTGAGGACATCCATTTTCAGCATTCCCCATTAGTTGTACAAACATTAGAACGTCGTTTTAGTGGGCGCGTGTTTAATACCGGCAGTTGTTTTGGTCCCAAAGATGCTACACCTCACCATCAGTTTAACGAGTTCGATTCACGGACAGTTCTCTTGGCCCGAGAGATACCAAACACCGTAAACTCCTATCTATAGCATGGGCATCAATTTTAACTACAAAGATGATCGTGGGGGAGGTGCCCGAAAGGTTGGTAGAGCTAGATCCGAAGCCGAGAGCAACGCGTAACGATGACAACCCTGTGAGTGGCAACCACCCGGGTACCTTAACACTGCTAACCAGTGTAACCTAGAGTTCTTACCATATACTTACCAACGGGACGAAAGGGAGCAAACAAGCACGATCAACGAGAAGCAACGTGAACGTAATGGACTGACCTCTGCCGCAAAGCTGTAAAACCCAAAGGCCCTTACGGAGCCATAGGACGCCGCCGAATATCACAAGCGAGAGACTGCTGGCCAGCATTGTCTCGAGTTTAACTTAGTCTAAATTTCATTAAGCCCTATGTAAAGTGGACCCTTTAGTACCAATATTAAAGTCTGACTCTATTTGCAGCGGAAAGGGTGACAGAGTCTGTCTGCTCTCAGCTAAACTATGAAACAAATAGCGTATAGCCAGGTTCTGGGAAAACCCTTTGATGTTTTATATTGTATTCGAACCAGGAAAAAGAACAAAAGTATCAGTTAAGATTGGATGGCGTACGATTGCGTGATGCCGAAGCAGGATTCATTTCGCGCAAGCATGGTTTTGCTATCTTCAATCCGGATCAGAAGTGAGTCTTACTGATTTAAAGTGTTTTCAACGTGATCTTGATAAGTTCGACGAATGCTTGTTTATTGAACAAAGCGACCTTGAGCCTGTGGAACTACTGTCACAGTCGTCTGTCGTAATTGTTCACCTTCTGATACGTGGCTTAAATGGTCCCTCTTACTGATTTAACTCTCAGCATGATGTTCATGTGAACAACACAATGAGATGGTCAATATTTTATACCTGAAACTGCGCAGATGAGTCAAGAATTGTAGTGTGGAATTTCTCTCTCACAGATTTGCTTCATTTATGGCGCGAAGTGTGAGTTAAGCTTTGGTAGTCGTTATTGACGGTGTATAATCTGGGACTGAGATTGTACAAGACAAATAAACAGTCCCTGTTGAATTTTACGATTCCGCGCCTCCAGAATATCTTAAAGTAGAACCATCTAAGGTGCCAAAAAAGTGTAGAAATCATTTCAAACAGTGGTTTGCACTAGCATGATTATCAGTGTCAAATTAAGTGAAAAACAACTGTCTCAAACGTTTGTGGGAATTGAACTGGAAAAAAAATGTATCTAGTGTATTTTACAATTAACTTGACCTGTCACATTGCCTTAGAAACCTTTTTAAAGATTACAAAAGTCTGGAGCTGACTGGAGAAAATCAAGACGTCGTGGATAGTTGGAAGGCTTCTTTTTTACGCGCTGGGGTCTACCCAGAAAGGGAATCTTCAGATGATAAAAGTCTGGTGAGTTCCATGTCTTATTATTGATGGCGTTTGAGAGGGGTTAAAACAAACACGTGATGAAATATGAGGTGGTAATGTGGGCAATTTTAAAGTGGTTGATGCAGTTTTGTGCTGACATAACATTGGCCGATGCGGAAAATACCATAATATTCTTTGTACTGCCGTTTCGGTAGTGCGTCATGTAAACCTGGCTTTGCTTTATCTTTTTTTCTTTTCGAAGATAATAACGACAATCATACCGTCGAACGGAACATAGTTTAACATTGCTCGCGTAACCTACGGATCAGTCAGTTGTTTGTTTGCGCTGATTTCCAAAAATTGATTGTAAGTTTTAAGCCATAGAGAAGACCGTGAGTACCAACGTATAATGATCCACGTGATCTAGCGAGGCTCAAAATAGATCTTTTTTCTCTTTTCTCAGTTAAAAGAAAGCCCCTGAAAAATCTGTGTGGGGCAGCTGAAATGGTGTCACAGAAGAGAGTTGGATGAGAGACCATTACTGCTCCTTTCGGACGCAATTACCTTAAAACCGTTAATGCATTTCGCGTTTTTCTTCCTTATCATTGTCGCATTAACTTTTTGTATTTTTTGTTCTCAGCAAGGTGAGATAGGTACCCTGGACCCTCAGCTGGAACGACAAGTGGAAACTATACGAACCCTGGCCGATTCTTACATCAAGATTGTCAGCAAGACAATACGGGATCTAGTGCCTAAGACTGTAATGTTCTTTGTCATTAACAACGTAAGCTGCCTTCCTTACTATACTTGAATACGATGATGTCATACATAATTCCGGTAAAAGATGCTATCGTATTTCCGCGTGGACAGACGAAAGCGATATGAATACGCTACTTGTGGACGCGTATGTTGTCGAAAACGGAAAACAGTTCTCCGTTTTCAAAAATTTCCGCCCGATACGAGTACACAAGGCCTGAAGTTTGACCTGCCTCCTTCAGTGCTAGTTACAAATCTACCGTTAGGTTTCTTGTAACTAACAGTCAAGAAGGCAGAAGTCTCTGCCGAAAAATGCTTGCTAAATTAAGATCTGTTGTTTGTAACTTGTCGACCCGCTGCTGCGTACACCTTTTACTTTAATTACAGGTCAAATCACACAGTTTACAAAAGGCTGACTTGCTAACTGAATGGTGGGTGGGTGAGCGAGTATGGGGATGGATAATTGCAGATACTGAACTGTTCCCCTCAGGGGTGACAACCGTAAGTGAATGTCTTGTTTGCTGTGTCTTACATTACAGGTAAAAGATTTTATTGGCCAAGAGTTGCTAGCACATTTATATTCGACTGGAAATCAGGTGAGAGAAAGTTGAGAACAGCTTTGATTCGCGTTTGAAATACGTTTGGTGGATTAGTATTTTTCCCTGGAATTGTGTTCAGGTATTTAATGTACTCACTCCTCAGACACATCTGAAAAACGTAGAATTCAGTGGTAAAATGAGGAGGAGGCAGCGTGGCCGAGTGGTTTGAGCGCCGGACTTGCATTTCGGAGGCCCCAAGTTCAAGTCCCGCCCTGACCGAAAGCTGGATTTGTTCACGGTAGTCCCGAGTTCAAATCCTCGGCCATGCTTGTAAATAGCCAGCTGGTTTGCCTCCGGCCAGTTGGGATTCTGAACTCTGTTAAGTAGGCTTTTGTACATTATGCTAGCATTTTTCGAGCATTTTAGTGAGGCAAAAGCATTGAACATTATTCGAGCATTTTAGTGGCATTTTCCCCGGAAAATTAATTTTTCCGAGATAATAAAATAGAAATTAACTTTTTTCAGGAGCCCATGCCCCATGAGCTCCTCCTTTTTTAAACAAAATGAAGACAAAAATTCAAAATTCACAAAAAAACCCTTATACAGCTGGTTTTTTTGGCTGTATTTATGAACTTGTACACGTTGTCGTTGTCACTTGCAACACTTGCACGTTTTTGTAAGTGTAAACTTTGAAATTAATTAAAAAAAACCGTTTGTATAATGAGCATTATCCGAGCATTTTAGTGACTTTTTTGGGGAGACCGAGCATTTTAGTGGGAAAAATGGAGCATTAAGGTGGAGCATTTTAGAAGGGAAGTAAAAGCATAATGTACAAAAGCCTGCTGTTAAGTTCATATTTGTTTTAGGCATTTGCTCGGCCCCACTAGCATAAGTGCTATAAATACTGCCGAGGGTAAATAACGGAATTATTATCATTATTATTATTATTATTATTATAAAAGTATGATGAGAAACAGTTGCGGTGAAAGTGCTCCTTCAAATGTCCGAAATTTAAGGCTTTGTTGACCCTATACCGAATACCTTTTCGTGACGTCACGAAAAGCTCTTTGGTATAGTATGAACACCAATGCGATGTGTGACTCGCCACTTTAGAGATGAGCGCGGCGCAGCTTCGCTCCATTACAGAAATGGCGCCGATATTACCGTTCTTATGTGTGAATAGAAGCCCTATTTGGTATGGTTTTCATGCCAGCGATGCAAGTGCTATCCGGTATAGTGTGAACTATACTATAGGTGCTAGCCTGGTTACTGTTAACCGTCTCGAAGTCAAAAATAACCTACTTAGTATGTGTAATAAAATGGTGACGAGTGAAATTAGGGAATAATTTCACGCGCGTTTTGAAATTATTAGGATTTGGACAAAACGCAAGTGAAATTATTCCCTAATTTCACGAGTATACCATTTGATTACCTATTAAAATCATGGGTGACGAATTACGTTAGCAATCTTGGATTTTTGACATGTTTATCCTGGATCGTATCGATCGAGAACTCCATTCTCTCAAATGTTTAGACCTTAAATTTGGCTTATAAAGTTCAGAATTTTTCAGACTTTTTCTGCAAAATACCTGTTAGAATCCTTCTTGATGTTCTCTTGTGTGTTCAGCTTTTCTAAAGTGTCTTTTTGTGCCCTGACATCTTTATTCATGGCATTTTAAAACTTCGTCGCCATCTTGACACTGAGACGTACGGAAGGGTTGCCATGGCAATTTTGTAATTTCACATGTGAAATTACAAATAAACGCTGAAATTTCGCGCCAAAATTAAGGAGTAATTCGTCACCTATGATATTACGGAGGAAACTAGCAACTTCTTTATAGCTATAGCAGAACCTCGATAACCGGAGCTCCGATAACTCGAATTCCCCGCTAACTCGAACTAAAGTTCCTTTCCCTTGATCAAAATTTCACTGAAATTTACCCCGATGACTTGAATTCCCCGCTAACTCGAAATGTTTTTCGTTTCCCTTCAGAGTTCGAGTTACCGGGGTTCTACCGTATATGTACGGTAATTTAATCTCACCTGTGTTTCCTCGTCTTAAGTTTTAGATTCTAGGAATGTTACGAAACCACAAGGAAGACGGTAGTGAAGGCGTGTGCTTGAGAGTGAATTCACGTTCTTTCAATCTTCATCGCCATTATTTCAATTCCGTTTTGAATTCTGCTGCGAAATCCAAGTTCAAAAATAGAGAAAAAATGCGTCTTCTTGTGTTCACATTTCCATTGACAATACATCTCATTAAGAAATATCACCCCGTATTTTTGCACGGGACAGAAAAGAAATGTACCAAAATTTGTGCTGCACGTGCAGAGTAGTTGTTTTGTACAAGTTGATGGTTTATAATGACGTAAACACAGCGACAAAATTTGTCTTTTAAATCTACTTCCTAAGATTCAACTTATGGAGAATGCGCTTACATTTTGATAACCGTAGTCGGGTAGACTAATGACGATGAAATTTGAAAGAATGCGAATACATATTATAAATACCGTTTTCCCTCCCGTCTCCGCCTTAGGCCCAGGCCATACGTTGAACTTTTCATGAGAAGAACCAAACTTAGTGAGTTAAATTCATGAAAAATGCGACGTCTGCCTCAGTTAAGTTCGTCTGAGCAAGTTTGGATCGTCCAACTCGTTCTATCCGTCTGCTTCGGGCGGACAGACAGAACGTCTGAAGATCGTCTCCGGGACAAACGTCGATTGTCACATGCGACGAACTAGACTTATAACTTAAAAATTTGTACGATAATAGGGCCATTTATACGAGGAAAAATAAGACGCGTCTTGTACATAAGACGCGTCTTAAATAAGATCATCTAGACCCTGAGACAAGAGGGGGTCTCCCAAAAAAAATTTTTCGGCTTCAGTTTGGTATAAAAGTAAGGTGGGAGGGATGGGTCCCCCAGGATCCGCCACTGGTGTTAATTATGACTGTTCATGACTCAGAATGACCTGATGCAAGAAAGCGAGGCCGAAATAACTCGCCGCGAGGAGATGCTGCGCATGTTTCACAGCTTAAAAGAAGCTCTACGGATAATCGGCGAGATAGACGCCACCACCATTACCACAGCACTGCCGCCGCCTGTGGATACGGGAGACCTGGACTCAAATGACTCATACAAACCTCCAAGGTTTGACAAATAGTTTTCTCTTGAAATAGACTTTTTACTCAAATCCTTCTGTTGCTGCCAAACATATGTGAGGACCGCACACTCGATTAAAAAAACTACCTTACAAGTTTGGTACGTTACAGAAAATCCATTTTTCAACCAAACATCGTCATGTTACGCTCCCAGCCCGGATCCTTTCCCCTCCCAGGTTCGCCCAGGTTGAGTTTGATCGTACGCTGATTTCCCAAAGAGGTGGAAAAAAATTTTTTTTTTTTTAATGTGTGTATATGCTCCCTTTTTGTTGTTGTTGTTGTGTGTTTTATTGCTCCGACTTAAAAGAGACGCGAAATGGTTTATAGGCAATATCTGGCAACATTTTATAGTACTTGTAAGAACATTTCCAGTACACTTATAATTGTTTTTCTTTCTTAAGGGGAAGCAGACAGCCGCCCCCACCTCGACCGTCCTCGGGTGCAAATCCCACACCACCCTCACGCCCTTCTCGTCCCGTCCCTAGCGTGCCATCAAGACCAGACGGTACTCCAACTGTACCAAGGTAAGCAGTGCATATTTTACCACGCTCAAATGATTGACAAATCAGTATTCTCGTGTATTCACCGAGTCGTTCAAAGCTGGGTTAAGATAACCCAGGGTTAGTGAAAAATTTGAATTTAGATATGAATGCTCAAGAAGCAAGTTCAGTTTAATTCTTTTTGTCTACAATTTGATGATTAGATGCTCTAAAAAGAATACAGAAAATTATCCGAGAAAATGCTTTTGAACTAAAAAAACAGAAATCCGGATTAAAATTTAACCCCGGGTTAGCGCTAATCAGCCTTCGAAAAAGGCTATCGAACAACCGGGCCCAGGTTCAAAATTCACCATCACATCTCAGTCATTGCGCATAAGCAAATATCGACATTCTTGTCCTAGCACAAGGTTCGTAAAAGAGTACGCAGGATGTAGTTATAGGAACCTTGTTTAGAGGTCTTAGCTGCCACGAGTCTTCCTGTAACTCAGTGGTAGAGCATCTGGACTAGTAACCAGAGGGTTATAGGGTCGCGCTCGGATTTATTCTTCCGAGCTACTTGTGTCATTGATTAAAAAAAATCGTCTTTCTCGAAGCAAAATACTCCAAAGCTAAGGTTGAATGAATGAGTATACTTAAATCGTAATGTACTGCGAACTTTAACAGCAGTCAGGATGAAAATAGGTTGCATCTCTTTGGACTCCGATGCCTTTTAGATGTCCATAAGAGCGAATACTTGAAAATGATATACCTTCTTCCACACATAGCAGTAACTTGTTGACGAGAGCCAACATTTTACGGGTCGTTCCACAGGTCAATAAAAAATGATCTGATGTGAAATGCGTCTGATGTGTAACGTTTTTGTTCTTTTTGTGTCTGTTTCGCCACAGGAGACCCAATGCACCAGCAAAGCCAGCTCCTCCGCCTCCAGTACCTGGTCGGCCACCTGTGCCCTCAAGACCTTAAATATCAGCTGTGTCTTTGCAGTTCATAATATGGAACATAAAGCCTGGTCCCAGTTATTCAAAAGGTGGATAACGCTCTCCACTCGATAAACCTCTATCCGGTGGATATTGTTATCCCAGTTGGTTTCCCTAATACTTATCGGGTGGATCGTGATTTATCCGATGGGTAGCGCTATCCAGCCCTTGAACAACTGGGACCTAGTTTCCGTATAAACGTCGGGATCGTCTATATCGCCCCGTATTTTTGGGACGATAGAGACGACTATCCAACTATCCGACTAGCATATGTAGAAACGTTAGTTCTGTCCAATTGCACCATAGGTGCGCTTGGTCGTCTCAATCATCTTTGCAAATATTTTAAAAATTCTCTTAGGATACCCGGATTTGAATAATAAATTCTATTTTCTCCCGAGCCAGCCAATCAGAGCACGCTAACCACTGAGCAGTTTTTAGTAGTCCGTATACCATTCGTAAGATCTTTCTAATCGTTATTCCACTTCCTTCCCTACATCTTTCTTGAATTAAATAGTACCTAATGGCCAGCAACTCTCAGTTTAACTAGGTTTTGCGGATCGGTGAAAACGAGAAGAAAGCAATGAAAACAAAACAAAAAGCACATCCTAACAAGAAATATTTTACGCCAATGTTGTTCTCGTATTCTCAAATTTAATTGTCGGGACAAATGGAGGTTATTTTTATAAATAGTTACAAGGTGGAAGTTGTTGAACGAATTCTTTTTAGGTTAGTACTTCTTTTGCAATGGTGAACAAGATTGACTAGTACAGAAGTTCGGGCTTCCGCGACAACAAAGGCTTGACGCGATTCAGAGAGAGCCTCCTCTTCACCTTCCTAAAATGATGCTCTGCCAGCAGGGTGAAGGTTGCATCGTCAACATAATCATTTTGCAGATACTACTGCGTCTCTTATTTCTCTTCAAAGTTACCGGGGTGGCATTAAACGCCAGGGCGCTCTCGCACAGTGCACCTTATTAGACTGGTATAGTAACAATTATTGTGATTAAAGTGGCCCAATGATAAACAACCTTTTGGTTTTTCATAAATGGAAATATACGTATACCAAAAAAACAAATTATCTTTAAACACACTTAACCGATTTAGCCCGCGAAGAAATGATGAATTCAGGTCTTCAGCAATTTTGCATGAAAACAAGATTGTCTCTCATTTTGTCATGCTAAACTCTTTAGGAAGGTAAAAAATGCTGTTGCCCTTTTGTGGTTTAACCCTTCTGATTCTTAGGAGAGTAGTTAAGTTTTCCCTTCTCCTTCGACAAATTACCACAGTACCTCCTCTGTCTCTTTTCTTTTCCAATGCCAGCCGATTCCATCAAATCATTTTGTCGAGTTTTGCTGGCCTTGTATAAGCATGGCAACAACATGTAAATAGATATAACAATGCAGGAATAATTAAAGTGAATATTGGCGTAGTTAATACCGGTTTACGTAGTTATTTTTGTTCCGCCGTGTGTGCTACCAAAATCGTCAAATACCACTCCTAAACGAGATCCTTTATATGGCAGTCTCCCCCGGGATACTGCTCCACCATATTAGGGAGCTTAAGCAACAGTGTTTTCAGCGACGGACGTCAACCGGAAGTGGACTTTTTGCATCATTGGGCAGTGGTTGGTTCAAAATCTCCGGTAAATCGTCTTTATAAGAGAAAAGAATCTTAGCAATACAAATTTGTTGGCGTCAAGAAATATGAAAGGGAAGAAAACCTCACTTCCGGTTGACGTGTGTATTTTCTCGGATAGGCCCCATGCCTCCCTCAAGTTCGCCCCTTAGGAAACAAGAGGAAAACTGGGCCGAGTTAACTTTTGCAAAGACTTCTGGGACTATTTCTAGGGACAAGGGGGGGGGGGGAATAGCCAATAATTGATCGGCGCTTCCCCTGTACGATCCCAGAAACAGCCTTATTAAAAACGGTAACCGGAAAACGGTAGGCCCGTTTTCAACGCACGTCACTAGTGACTGATCCTGTGGCACTTCATGTTCATTCTCAGGGGCACCCAGACGGAAATTTTGAGAAAAAGACCTAAAAACAACAACAATGCATGAAAAAAGCTTTCTGATTAAGCATTATTGGAGATTGCTGGGAAGAAAGTATCTGTTGCTCACTCCCAGCAAGACTGATGGAAGAGTTCCCAGCCAACAAGGTGTACCTTCAACCCACAACCTGCAACCTGGTATACTGGGAGGTTTTACCGGGTGTGGTCGATTGAAAGTGCATTTCACCCGGTCAGTGGAGGGGGCGGAAAGGTCCGACGCCAGAAACGGCGGATCAACAAAGATTGCGGAGAATCCAGAAACTGAGCTCTTACCAAAACTGCTTTCCATTTATTGAAAATTTGGTTCAAATTTTTGTCGCTCGATAAATTTATCCCATTCCCTTTCCCCTTATCTAACGTTTATCATGAAGGCCAATGGAACTCACATTTCCTTCGAAAAAACTCTAACGAGGGGACTACTTTTTTGACCTTTCGCTTATTCTTGGGAATATTCCAATGAAACTACTTAGAAACATCTAGTGTTCATTAATTTACCTTTAAGGAACCTATAATTACAATTAAAAGTTGTCATTTCGTCCTGTGATAGTATTCCTTTTACATCCCAATCAAAATTTTTGGAATGTTTTTGTCAATGAAAAGCCCCATGCAAGCGTTTCGCATGTGTTGTGTGTTTTTTCTGTATGTTATTGTATTTCTTTTCTTTTCTTTTTGTTATGTAATTTAATGTCGCCTTTATCAAGTTTTGTCCTGCCTAGATTAGCATAATAGCTATTTGCGGGGCATAAAGTATTGTAAACTTTATAGTTTTGTTAATAAATACACTTGTAATAGTTGACAATACAGCTGCCCCCGCTCTGTATATTATCGGTCAATAGTATTCTTGCTCGTTGTGTAGCTCTTTGAAATATACCGATTCATAATAAATTAAGATTTTCACACATATTCCTTACAATAGGTGAGATAAATACAGCAAACGCAAGGTTCCATGCACAGTTTCAGTTCGATTTACACAGCTTTGATCAAAACATTCTCAGTTTCAAGAATAGTTTAAACCATAAGAAAATATTTAATTAGAAGTTGAATTTTTCGCTATTTCTCTTTCACTTTTTACATTCAGTTCATTTTACCGGAACTTGAGTAAGCCTTAGAGATTAAAAGGACGTTTGATCAATTCACGCTCGCGCATTCTAGTCTTATTTTAAACTTTATAGCGGAAAGACATCTGTGAGCAGAGAATAATTCAGCACAGAATTTGATTGTCGGCGAATTTCTGTAATCGTCTATCGTTCTGTTAGTCAGATAAGCTAGCCGTTGTTCACTCGTCTTGCTTGTCTGGGGCTGAGTCTTATAATTCCGATCAAAGAGAGAGAAAGAGTGTCTGGCAAGGTTTCCTATCAAAGATTTGCTAACTCGTGTATGGCAAACTCTCCAACTGAATTTATATATACACAGTAATACGCACCTTACAACTTCATCTGCGCTTAACAAGTGTCTTTTGGTCCATAACTTTCAAAACAACTGCTCCACGGAATGTCACTGATAACACTTAACGCAAAAGAGTATCCTACTCGAAGTATGACTGCACAATAAATGTCACAAAGTCTACCTAAGCGCTCTCTTCGAGATTTTCTGTCTTTACGTCATCCTAACCATTTCGTACTTGCGGGCGCAAACAACAGAAACGTCATCATTACCTACCGATTCCTCGCGGCCCCTGTTCAAGCAAATCGAGATTTTTTTCTGGCATACTGACTGTATATTTCAGCTGTAAGTACTTTCCTTAATATATGCGCGAGTTACTTGAGTGCCTTCTCGGGATTTCGCCCTCTGGGCGAAATCCCTGCTGAGGCAATTATATTATTGTTGTTGTTGTTGCTATGTTGACGATTACGTGTGACACAAAAAGCTCACTTCGCCAGAAATGCCTTTGCTTAAGATCAATGCTAGCCTCCCACGCAGGCGTTTTTAGGGGAGCTCGGTTTTCATCCCTCCCCACAAACGCCTGCTCAGCCGAAAACAACATTCCTTTCCCATTGTCTTATTTTCGTGGTAAGTGACCAATAAACAGTTGTGCAATAAAGTGTTGACAGGCTAAACGCGACTTAAACGTGCCCCTAGAATTACCGTTTTCCTTCTTTTCTTTCCCTCGCTAAGGTTATGAAGTGCATGGAGTGTTCTAAAATTTGACTAAAACTTATTTTTACCGCTCTGAAACTAACATTTATTAGAGGTCAGAAAGTTTTTCCAATGTTTCATGCAGATTGAGTAATTATCAGATTACCTTGCGGTCAAGGTCAACTTTCCAGAATTTGGAAAGTACAATGTGATTGGCTAAGGATCGGAAAGGAATGTTGTCTTCGGTTGAGCAGGCGTTTGTGGGGAGGGATGAAAAACGAGCTCCCCTAAAAACGTCTGCGTGGGAGGCTAGATCAATGCCGGCCAAACGGGATAAAAGTTGTTTTTGTTGATCCTGCTTTTGTCTAAAGAAAGTAACTTCAACTTTGATACTCTTGGGTTAAGGTGCAAGAAGCAAGTTTAATACTGTTCCTCAATTTTTCGGCAGAGAATGGTTTAGTATTCAGTGTAATTGTAACTGCAGTCGACAAAGGCAAGTCATCAAAGGCAAGTCATTGCCTAATAGCTTTAATGACTTGTTCTTAAGTAGTAATCAAGTCCATCAATACGAAACTCGACTAGCCTCTCAGTATAGACCTCATTTTTGTAGAACAAATATAAAGCAATTCAGTATCCTTTACCGAGGACCTAAAATCTGGAAATTGTTGCCTGTTTCACTGATTAGCTCTCCTTCTATATCTGTTTTTAAAAAAAAAATTAAAGAATTATCTCACTGATAGCCGATCTGTCGTTTAATTTTCTGATCTTGCTCACTCTGCACTCAGCCATGAACTTAGTTCACTAAGTAGTTGAAAGAAGCATATTGATATAAGCTTCAAGCTTCATTAGGCTTCCTTGTCACATTAATTTTATAATTTAATTAACACCTTTTGTTCATGTTGTGTAAGGTTTTGTGAGTGACTAAATAAATAAATAAATAAATAAATAAATCATTTATAAACTCCGAAAATAAACTAAGAATGTAATTAAAGTTCGTTTCACAACACCGCAACACCAGCAATACAATCAATTTATCAATGTCATAACGTAGGATAGGGCTGCCCCGAGTTATAGTTAAAAGTAATTTTGTGTGTTTCGATCTAGCCTCCCCGCAGACGTCCTTTGGGGTTCGTTTGTCACGCATTCATTTCTCCCCCACGGACGTCTGCTAAACACAGCCGACATTTACGTTCTGGATTGTTTGAATAAGCCAATAAGCGGTTAGTTATTGTGTCACGATCAGAGACAAAAGAACCCCAAAGGACGTCTGCGGGGAGGCTAGTTTCGATCCTTTCTATACTGTATCAAAGTTCAATTTAGTTAAAGTTAGTTTTAGTTCATTTTTTTTCTTTTTAGTTATTAGCTGTTAAATAGATGTCGTTGCTATTAAGCTAGCTCCTACAATTAAAAATAGTTTTTTTTTGTTGAAATAAAAAGCAAGAGTTACCCTAACAAAATAAAGAAATCTACCAAGCTATGAATTATTAAATTGAACCTTGTTTCAGCGCATACGCACATTCATCTTAGCACCATTTGCAAAATAATGTACCATTACTGCTACAGTATAATAGCAAGACTAGTAGTCATAGATCAATGACTGCATTCGAGCTGTCTTAGCTCCAGGCCGGCTTTAATACTGATCTTCAAGCATTATTTAAAACTTACATGGTTGGGAAAAGATCATGAAAAATTTATTTTTTTATATAAAAAAATAATTAATTAAAAATTCTTTCGAAACATTTCTATACTCTCCACATAGACGGCTTTATATTGAAAAAAAAAAAATGTTTTATCCTCCCTTGAATATGGTTAATAAAAATAAAGAGAAGTAGATCGCACAAAGATTGTTTTGTTCCCTTTAAATGTACTTTATGTCAGCAGAATGTTTTTCATGCAAGTGAGAAGAAAAAAGTATGAAGAAATAAACAGATTCAAACGCACGGGTAATCTAAAAAAAGTTCCTCTATAGAGAACGGGCGGCACAAACGTTACCTTGATGCTTATTTGTGTATTTCTACGAAGTTTAATTTCAACCTGTTGTGTTGAAACTCGCTTTGAAAACAACTCTTAATTTCATTTCCTCGCCAAAAGCAAAAAACTTGACTTTGATCGAACCAGAGTAATGCGCATGTATTATGATGTAATTCAAAATAGGGCCGAAAACGCATGCGCACAACGAAAAATGCTTGCTGAAAAGGTCACCCCTGAGTACCACAGGATAACCAAAAACCACGGGAATTCCAAGATTAGGAGTTGCGTTCTCCTGACGTCGAACGCAATTAAATCTTTGACATCATCCTTCCACTCCACCTACCGGTAATCAGTAATGTGTTAGTCCT